CGGAGGAGCGCCTGGCCCCCTCACCCCTCCCTCTCCCCTGAGCGCGAGAAGACCATCGAGCCTTCCTCGCCCCCGCCCGCCCGCTCGCTCCCACTCACTGAATGGACTGCACTCCGGGAGCGGAAACGGGATGTAGGGAGGAGACACGGAGGGAATATGGAACAAACCACTCTACAGGCTATATAGGGGGACATGCGGGAAAGAACCACTTTGGTACGGGGTGTGGAGAGGTTCCCCGTAGAACTCCGCGGAGCCCAAAGACCAAGAGACATCCATCTCTTATGCCAGAGCGAGATGACGTTATTCCTTTAGCCCAGGCATCAAACTGTTACCTGGTCGCCATTCGATCAGCCACCCCCTTTTCCAGCTCCATTTTGTAGCTGACGGGTGGACTGTACCACAGATACCTGGAGGGGCCATACATCCCCCTTGCTTTTGAGGCAGTTTTGCAAACGATTTGAGCAGAAGGCGCTTCGGTCTGGTCGTCTTCCGTTTCCCCGCGTTCCCGTATGTCAAAATAGACGTTAAACACAACCTCTGCCTCTGTTTTGGTATTGGCCACGGTGTTGTCCACGGAGCGGAAATACTACAAGTCCCAGAAAGCCGTGCCACGCAGAATTTTTGGGACGTCTCTTACACACGGTGCAAGCGGGTTGCAGAAACAGGCGGCTCTCGCAGTCAGCTGAAAATTGCGGCGCTTGGCCGCAGATGGATTTTCTTCAGGAGATACGTAGTCAGTTTAATCGGGAACAGTGATTTTAAAACCTTAAGTGGGAATGGAGCCCATGTGTATAAAGGCGTTGAGACTTGCTCCGGAGTCACTGGACGTCTATTGAACAGGTCGACACTGCACCTGAAAAGAATGAAGCCTTGCTTTATGGGGATGCTCTTGAGTAGGGATGGGCACTGCGGACAGAACTTCTACTGGAAGGAACATGTAGGAGCTCCGCATCATATGAGATAAAGCCCTACCTGAATAATCTCGCTGCATTTCTTCTTGTTCCCACTCACAATCACCAAGGGGAAGCTAGTTACAGTAATCTAATCCTGTGCACACTTTCCTGAGTCAGAACCGCAGAACACATTTGGATTTACGTCAGAACAAGCCTACAGAGGATTCCTGTATAAATCGAAGAATGCTTAAGAAACAAACCAGTGTGTTTGCAAATCGGACGACAAAGGAGTCTGCTGTAGTACAAGTGCCTGGTATGGGGAGGCGGAGGTGAGCGGTGACTCCAGATTCAAGCCTCTTATGCTGAGCGGTGACTCCAGATTCAAGCTTCTTATGCCTAATTTTGAGGGCGAGGTTGCTGGAACCAGTTGTACAGGCTCTTGCCTTTCCATTGGACCATTTCAGCAACATGGAGAGGGGGAATTTGCTGCTTGGGTAACAGCCTATCCTCCATACTACTTTACCCAGGCTTCATGCTCTGGAGAGGACACTTCTCGATACAAAGCATGTTACCATAGTCTCTCAAGACTGAAGGATGCCTATGAATGAATGAAGTTTCGTTGTACATAAATAATATCGATAACACAGCTTAAGTGTGTCCGTCCACTGCTTGTGGCTGCGGGAAGCATAGACCCATGTGGTAATTATTGCATAATACAATAGACTTTTATCCCAGCTATAAATGTGTGCAGAATTTTAATAATGAATTTTCACACTTATGAATTGGTTTTAAAGAACAGTTAGATTATATGAGAAGAGGTAAACGGATGAAACCAGACTGCATCCTTTTTCCCAATGTGATCACACAGTGCCCGTACAAAGCCGACCAAATACAGTTGGTCTCGAAAACAAGCCATGGCCAATACCCGGTGATTAACTTTTCCATGAAACCCTCGTCCACTTCTATCCACTTCTAACGGCGTATACATTAGAGAGCAAGAGTGAGTGGTACCTGTAGTAGGCCACTAAAAAAAAATATCAGTAAACCATCAACTCCGTATAGGTCTCTTCATCAAGCTGGGCACCGCAGAGCTGCGGATGAAAAAAAAAGTACATAAAAAGTTTTTAAAAAATCATGGCCAGATGCGGATGCTAGATTCATTCGTGGAAAATAAGCTTCAGAAAAAGAGCTATAGGCTGAAGCCAGAGGTGTAGGCTCCAGATTTCTGCATCATTCGCACGTTTCTGGTGCCCAGGTTTATGAAGACCTGAACGGGGTCAAAAGCCTAGCTTATATTTGTGCTTTTCTTAGTCGCTTAATATCAACCACTGTTGCCTTCGGAGTGTGCAAGAGAACGACACGGCGTGGTTTTTTTGTTTTTGTTTTGGCCGAATTTGAGAGTACCACATCTGTCGGCGACTTTTCCAAAGTGAAATTGAGCGTGTGAAGAGTACCGTAACTCCTTTCGTCTGTCTTGCAGCTCCTGCAGATCAGTTCTTTTCTGGTTTGCTCGCTTTTCATTCGATTTCCTTGAGTACAAGAGGAAAAAGAAAAACATATCCATTCCTTTTCCATACTGTGCCTTGTTGTGTAGACCTGTGTATGTAGCGTCCTCCACCGTCTGCCGCCTTCTCGTTGGACGTCAAGAAGCTTCGATCGTTTCCCTCCACTTTCTTTTTTTGCTACCGCTATTGCTTCCCCTCCTCCTTTCGGCGAGTGCAAAAAGGAGTATACAGTACACGGAGAACGAGAGTCCCTGTTAACGCTCAAAACACGCGTCTCTCTCTCTCTCTCTCTAGGATCCCTCTGTTCTCCCAGGGATTCGCTCTTAACGCGTCGAAGGCGAAGCGTCTGCGCGCGCCACCGCCGGGAAGGAGAGCGAACACGAGAAGGCTTGATTCCTACGTGACCTCTCCCGGGGAGGTCGAGCCCGACCTCCCGTCGGCGGTGCGCGTGCGCGTTGCCTCCCTGTGAGGGAGGCGAGAACATGGCGGAAGCGGAGTGAAGGGCTCGTACGCCAAGCGGGCGGGCAGCAGGTGAGCCCCGAGCGCAGCACTTAAAAGAGGGGCGGTGAGGGGGACGGAACCGCCAGCTGGGCAGGAGCAGGGTTTCGCCAGGCCGTGAGGCGCCGCTCGTGAACGGCGGTTTACCTCAGGCGGGCGCCGGTCGGAGCCAGCGTCCCCGTTATGGGGGGTGGGAGGGAGGCTGTACCAAAACACGGAGGAGAGAGAGAGGCGGATCGGGACCCCTGCTGGCTTTTTTTTTTTACTCGCTACTGTCTGAGGTGACACGTCGCGCTACTGCTGGGTTAGCTGAGAAGACGCCGCCCCTCACCGACCCCCTGACGGCTGCAGAAGCGGGCCCCCCCCCTCGCCCGGGCAGCGGCGCCAACTCGGCCTATCCTTGCTGTTTTGCTGCTTGCCTTGTAGCCACGCTGGGCTCGACTGAGCGTTACTGAGGGAGCGCGAAGGCGCCGCGCCCCCTCCCCCGTGCTTCAGTGCTATCCTCCCTGCCGCCTGGCCCGCTCGCTGACTGCCCTCCTCTGCCCCAGAGACAGAGAAGGCGCGAGAGCGTGAAGGAGCCCCGTTCGCGACTCTCCTCTTCCCCCTGGTGACAGCCCCCCCCCATCTCCCCGGTCTTGCAACGGTTTTGTGTTGCTCTCGCACCAGGCTGCGCTTGCGCCCTCGGCCCCTTTGTAGCCAAGCTCCTGGCAAGGAGAAGGGCAGGGGGGTTGTACCTGCGTGTGGGACTAGCCGGCGTTCTTCCTGTGAAGGAGGAGTACCAACCACCTCGGTGGAAAGTGACAGGACGGCCGGGATGGTGGATGCTGCCCAGTAAAATGTTAAGCCCCCCCCCCCCCGAAATTCAGAATCCGATGTCACAGCAGATCAAGTGGGTACACAACAAAAAAGTAACATTGGTTTTTGAATGGACGATGTCTTACTGTTTGGGTAGAAGGGTGGTGTCTTGCTAAAAACTCCTCTCAACAAGCGAGAAGGTACAAGATGCACTTAGCTTCTGCCTTTAAGGGACTCCTGAGTTTCTGCTTTGGTGATTCTCACTTTTCCTCCCAACAGCCCCTGAAGGAATCAGCCGCCATTCTCTTCAATTTAACAAACAGTCGTCTCTACTGCTGGATTTTTTAATTATTTCTTTTCTAGCTGAAGCCCATTTTGCAATTCAGATAGTCTGGTTGCCATTTCACCCCTTTTTTCTAATTCATCATCTGTACAGACCAAACAGTTCTGATTCTTTTCATGTTTCACATCTCTCCTTGTTTTCAATGTGGATATAATTTTTTTAAAGAACTGGATAAAAGTAAATGGCAGTGCAAGAATTGAAAGAACAAGTTGTAAGAAAATAAATTAGACAAAATGTTGTACAACTTTTCACCTGATGCAACTCCCATCAGGCACAGGAAACGTGTCATATGTACTAATTAAAAGCTTCCTATCTCCCTGAGGCTCCCTCAGGCTCCTCCCTAGGAAAGGCTTTGGAAGGCCTTTAAAATTACTATATACAGTATATGTAACTTTTATATGTAACATTTAAATAACCAATTTTAATTGCAGCTACTCAGAAGCAAGTCATACTGAGCTCAAACAGTTTTATCCCAGCTAAGTGAGTGTAGCAGGGGTGAGTGACCTCCAGCCTTCCATAAGTTGTTGGACTGTACATTCTATCATCCTTGGCCATTGGCTGAGGCTAATAGGATATGGAGACTTGTGAGACAGACAGTTACTCCTGTTCTTCAAATACTGAATTCTAAGTGAGATATTTCAACTTACATTCTTGGCCTGGGATTTGAATTTGCATTTTTAAAACAAAGTTCAATGTCATTTTTGCGTAGTTTACCACCAGTTTGTTTTCACATTTTAAACATTAATGTGGTGCATGTGTTTGAGTCATTTCTGTGATGGTTTGTTCTATTTTTTAATGTCAGGTGGAAGACACATTTCACAGCTATGGAGAGTGAACCAAATACAACAACTTCTTCTACATGCACGACAACCATAGCCACCACATCTTCCCCATCACGTACGCAGCCACCTCAAATATCTGTTTATAGTGGCTCAGATCGACATGCTGTGCAGGTATTTGATAACTGATCTACAGCTGATACGTATTCATGTTTGAAAATACATTGTGAAAGTAGAGGAAATTGCATATGTAACACTTTTAAGTTCTTTGGCACTATTTGCTTACTTAGATAGCTACGTATTGATGAAGCTTACAAACACAGTTTCATGAAATGAGTCTCTTCTTATTCACAGTTACATAACGGACAACATGAGCAATTATAATAACAAAATGCTATAATTTGTGCACCCAAGGCCTAGGCAACAGCACCAATACAGAAGTTGCTTGTAGAATTGCAAAGTTCAATTGTCCCTCTGAATTCAATTCAGATAAACATTCAAGATACCTTCCTCAGCTGGATTAGGTATCTAATAAATAGAAGTATCAGCTCCACATCTAGAACCTTCGAAACTCTAAAATAAAATATCAGTTCAATTGTATTAAATTCATAAATTCACTATGTGGAGTCACTCCTCCAAGACAAGCATATATAAATTATACCTAGACTAAGTTGACAAAGGCCTTAGTGTAAGAGGCAACAGCAGCTCTAGCCTCTTCAGTTCTCCTTCTCTTACTGATCCAAATGTCTTACAGCCCTACTCTTAGTCCTATACCTCTGGGTTTAATGAATATTTCATAGAGGTTACACATATATGTAGTAGACATCCTTCAGTCTTGAGAGACTAGCCCTACTCTTAGTCCTACACCTCTGGGTTTAATGAATATTTCATAGGGGTTACACATATATGTAGTAGGCATCCTTCAGTTTTGAGAGACTATGGTAGCGTGCTCTGAATAGAGGTCTTGGAACAGCGTCTACATCACTGGTCCCCAGCCCCTGGTCCCGTGGAGTGGGCCAGACCAGGCTGCCGAGAGAGACCTCCCCCTGCTGCCCCCGCATGCACTCACCCCCATGCTGCCCATTTCCACCTGTGTGCATACTCCAGCATGCCCGCATGAGCGCTGCACTGCCCTGCCACTTGTCCATGCGCATGGGCATGTGGGGGCATGCATGAGTATGTGCTGCTGTTTGTGCATGCATATGGGCACGTGCATGCACAAATGGCGGTGCTCGCTTGTGCGGGGACCACACGTGTCTGTGCATGCGCAAATGGCAGCGCATGTACCCGTGCAAAGAGTGCACACATGCGCGCTTGCTTGCGCATGCACATAGTGCAGGGGTGCCCCGCCTTCCCCAGCCGGTCCGCGGACCGGAAAAGGTTGGGGAATGCTGGTCTACATGACATGTAGCAGTAATTACACTATACTTGGATACTGTATCCTATATCAGATATTATATGCTTAGTATTTGAAGGAGGGTAAACTTTTCTGCATGAAAATATTGTCATCCATACTTATATCCATACTTACATGAGTAAGAGCCTCGTGGCGCAGTGGTTAAAACGCTGTACTGCAGCTAAAACTGTGCTCACGACCTGGGGTTCAAATCCCAGGTAGCCGGCTCAAGGTTGACTCAGCCTTCCATCCTTCCGAGGTCGGTAAAATGAGTACCCAGCTTGCTGGGGGGGCAATGTGTAGCCTGTATAATTAAAATTGTAAACCGCCCGGAAAGTGCTTGTAGCTCTATGGGGCGGTATATAAGTCAAATAAATAAATAAATAAGTAAGTAAGTAAGTAAGTAAGTAAGTAAGTAAGTAAGTATGTCATCCATACTTACTTACTCACTGCAAAGTGATTTAGTTCTGGTTGCATTTCCAATTTTTAAGTCGAGGAAACTGGTGAAAGAAGTGAATACAGTACTTAGCTGCCTGTTTCTGTGTCCCTCTGTCATCTTCCATAGTTCATTTATTGTCTCCCATCTCTCTCTTGCTTTTTAAATTCTGTGTTTTGTCTACTCCTATGTCATTTCTTCTCAGCTTTCTAAGGTTTATGGTTTATTGAAGCCAGGATCCAAATGTTGGCACTATTTATCAGCTAGTGAACATAATCTGTCATCCTCCACAAACTTTTCTGTTTCTTCCTAAGTTAGCTACAATTCTCATAGCTTGAGGAAAAAATTATATTCTCATCATTAATACAGTGTGCTGTCAACATGTACAGGTGACAAGAAGCTGTGGTAAACTTTGAAGTCCAGAGGACATACAGATATGATAAGTACAACAAGGGCACCACTGCTTTTCAGTTTGTGTTCTGAGAAGGTTTTTTAAGAGAAATGCATGCTGATTCAAGTGACAGTAACATTGTCAGTGGAGAGATTATGAACATCAGCCGATAAGACAGACAATAATAATAATCTTAGAGCCAGAAGAAACCCTATGGATCATCGAGCGCAGCATTTGTCAAGGAGACACAGTGGGGAATCAAACTCCCAACCTCTGGCTCCACAGCCAGATACCTAAACCACTGAGCTGGGTAGCAACCTACATGGCATGTAGAAGTTACTTGATGTAAATGCTGAACACAGTCTGAAAATGAATGTTAACAAAATCAAGTTTATGGTAGTGGTTAAAACAGAAGCAGCCCAAGAAAGATACAAAGTGGAAGTGTAGAACATGTTGGCAAATATTAATATTTTTGGAATTTGGTGGAATGAAGCATACTACTAATGTAAATAGAAGTTTAGTAGAAGTGGCCCAGAGCACCTTTCTTACGAAGGAGAGTGCAGTGCACAGCAGAACCTTAACATTGGCTTTAATAATGTGCATTGTATGGTGCTATGTATTTTTGGTTCTACTGTATAGCATGAGATTGCGGATTGTAAAAAGAGAAGTATTTGAAATGCAGGTTTATGACAGGATGTCAAGAATTTCCCCAATTGATATGGCAACTAACCAGGAGATATTAAGGCAAAGAGATAAAGACAATGTATAGAATCTTTTTGCTTTGGCTTTTTTTCACAGCTTGCACTGTGGCCCTGCAGGAGCAGTTGGGCTTTTACAGAGTTTGCACAAGGCAGTGTTCATTTTAGTGCTCTGCTGCAGTAAATGGGATAATCTACTTGTGCTTTGACAATCTGGAGATGATGCATGAACTCAGCAGATGAGGAGTTGTGCACTTCTGGTGTTGGTAGCAATATGTGCTGCTGCAGTTCAGTATTTGTGCAGATGTATGCATTCAGGTAAATGTCTCTCTTTTAAGCAGATTAGCTGCAGAAACAGACATAGATCAGTACAGTTGCCTGCATTTTATAGCTCTCTTTGAATGTGTGGCTATGGCAGTGCTATGATAGATGCCTGCACTTCAAAATTTACCAACACACCACTACTTTGCTTCCTTCTGGATCCTCCTTTTACTATACAATATTTATCTAGACATTCATTCCACACAACCAATTATTCTTTTTTGATTCTTCCTCTGCTGCTTGTACTTTGTTTCCTATCAAATGTTTGGGGTCATGTGGACTGTTGGCACAGTTGGAACTGCATGAAAACTATGCAATGCAGTTTTGGTAAAGGAAGCAATATATATGGACTTTTAAGAGCTAGACTAATTTTGTGTATCTTAAGCATTATGAAGAGAGCCTGGTACTATTTTCCAGACCATTTTGTGTTATCATGACTACATCTTTATATATGCATTTCCTCATTAAATTCCCACATTAGATAAGTCATTCATGGAGGTGGCAACAGACAAAAGATTTTCTATAAGATACTAATTATTGTGGCCAGAGCAACTAGATTGCTAACAGCAATTTAGCTGGGGCTGTGGGTTGTAGCTCCTTGAAAATGCAGGCTATGACAGTCTCTGAATGGCTGGTGGGTAGCATTCCCAAAGCTTCTATTTTTGCCACTATCATGGTCTTTCCCACAGGTTATTCAGCAGGCGTTGCACCGGCCCCCGAGCTCAGCAGCTCAGTACCTTCAGCAAATGTATGCAGCACAACAGCAGCATCTAATGTTACAAACAGCTGCTTTGCAACAGCAGCATTTGAGTAGCGCCCAGTTCCAGAGTCTGGCCAGTGTTCCACAGGTGAGTCTGGGATTAGAAACCAGTCATCTCTAAATTAACCTGAAATTCCACCAAACATAATAGTACAGTGGTTTTTTGGGGCTTAATGTAGTTTCCAACTTTTTTTGCCTAATGTACTACCCAGTATGTTGTTGTGTGGAAGGATATGTATACTTTTAAAAGACTTGTCAATGAAGTAATGTAATAGTTTCTTGACGTAAAGTATAATAAATAATTTTCAGTTAGGAAGTACAAGACAGTCAGTTAATCTTTCCTTTGGACTTAATCAGATTAATACCTTGAAATCATCAACAATGGGCAAAAGCCTCTTCCATAAAGTTATATCACACAAGCTGGATACTGTCTTCATCTGGTGCCAGTAATATTTAATTTCAATGCATCAAAAGCTTCCTATGCCCACTGTTTCACATTTGGAGGTTTCCTGGGGCTCTCTTTTGAGAGGAAGCCTTTGGAAGCCTTGGCACTTGGGGAGGATAGCATTTAATAGTAAATATCAAAATCAAAACTATAGACGTAGGAAAGCAGATAAACCCATAGTTAGAGGTCAAATTGCATTTTTTTACACAGATGAAAATATTTACTCCACTTCTTTACATCATTCAATGCAATTTGTAAAAATGAAAATATTAGAACAGTGATATCAAACTAAATGTAATAAAGACATGTGATACATACAGTTTGTAAACATGATCTATATGATAAGTTCACTGTTCATTAGAATAAGAACTGGATTACTGTTGGTAGTTTTATATATTAGTTTATGGGTAATATATATGATTGCAGAAATGTTATTGTTTTAAAAACCAGGGTCAATTTTTTTTCTGTTGTCCAGATCCATACGTGGAAATAAAATGAGAGGGAGGAGTACTTGAATATTGTTGGGGAACAGAGAAATACATGTATTTGTTTGTCATATTCAAAGAGATAATCAAAAGTTGGAAGATAATCAGTAACATAGTCAATGTCTCCCAAATGACTTGACTTATATAGATGGGCCAAGACCATAAAAAGAGTAGTAAAAGTGGCATCTGTTATGGGAGGATCTACTTTTATAGAGGAAATGCCATGATCTGTGTTTGATGGAAGCTCTAAATGAATAATGTTCTGGGAAATTCACTACATGTGTAAGTAGGTAATTTAATCAGGATAGCAGCCTCTTTATCAAAAGGGTAACAAAACCCATAAATAGGAATGAGGTGGTCAGCCAACATGGCTGTAGGCCCTGCTGGCTGAGGGATTCTGGGAACTGCAACTTCTCCAAGCATTATGTAGTAGTTTGAAGGCCAAAAACATAGCCATTAGGAGTTTTATGTGGCCATTGGGTTACCTGACAAAACTGACACAAACATTGATTTATTACAGCATTAGTCATACCCTTTTAAAAAAATGCAGTGTAATTGAGATGTTAATAAATGCGCTTGGTATTTAGGCAAACCTCTCGGGTGGGAGGCAATGTCCGTCCCCCAGTGGCAATGGCAGTCAGCAGTCAAGCATGTCAGAAACCTCGGTAAGTATGTAAACAAAAGTACTTTCTCCTAATCCACCCTTTACCAGTGCTAGCTTTCTCTGAAAGCAAGGAATGCATTGATCACATTTTAATGCAAAGAACTGGAGGAGCAGAAACGATTTTTTAACCCCCAGTATCATTCATAATGCATCTATATTTCCCACAGTAATTAATCTCCTTCTGACTCTAAATGTTTTGTAATGGCTGAAATCCTGTAGCATGACATTATGCTGCACAACAATAATGACAGCAGCTACAGCCAAGTCGTTGTCATTTGGGGCAATAAAATCTTCCTAGAATTCCAGCCCAGATTTTGGGAGACACTTAGGGATCCCCTTACTCTGGACAGCCTTTGAGAGCCCACAGCACAGGAGAGAGAACAATTTAAAACTGAAAAATTGCTGCTACTGGTCCCAATAGAGAAGTGACACCAGCAGTTATCTGGCTTTACATTGTTCCACCTCCTGTTCCACAGCTCCCAAAGGCCACCCCAGAATTAAGAGACCCTAGCAATCCCTGAAACCTGGGGCTACAGGTTTAGGAGGTTTTTTCTCCCTGCAGCATGGCTGATGGCATCATCCTCGTTACACAGTACAGCTCTGCCAACAGAATTCCAGGCACTGATTGCAATTTAATGAAAATATAATTATGTTTCCAAGACTGCAAATATTTTGTAAAGTTGCTAAACATTCTACAGCTGTCTAAATGTGAAGACTTCAAAATTAAAATGAAGCACCTACTTCATTTTACATATTATACGTCTAAGTACATTAGAAGTACTTGCAAACATCTGCTGTATCACATTTGATTATTTGACTTGTATTGTTAAGCTTAAAACATTTCATAATATATGTCAGAGGTGTTTAAAAATGCAAGTCTATGTCTAGCAATCTTCTTCAAAGCAGGCTTTAAAAATATTTGAGAAAATGTGGATTTGGAAGATATGTCTCTAAGAAGCTGGCATAAACAGATGCTATGCTATGGAGTGCAACTGCCAGTCAGTCAGATTAGAAGGGAATCCTATTCCAAGCCGGTCCTGCTGTTTTCAGTAGGACTCACAAGTGTTTAGAATTGTGTAGCCTTCTGCTTGTTCTAAAATTGTGGGGTGAAGTTAGTTAATACAAGAAATTCTTTTGCTTCCTTAGATTAATCTCTCTGCTTCTCCTACACCTGCGCAGCTAATAAGCCGTTCGCAGACCTCCAACACTAGTAGCAGCAGTCTCACCCAGCAGACCATGTTGTTAGGCAGCACTTCTCCAACTCTGACTGCAAGCCAGGCTCAGATGTATCTCCGAGCTCAAATGGTAAGTCTTGCAAGATTATCTTAGGTTTTAATGTTTTAAATAGGATTCATTCCCGGTCATTTTTGTAGTTCACAGTTGTTTCGTGTGATATTTAGCTATTTGGAGCCATTTCTATCCTCTAACTTTATTTAGGTCTGCAAGGGACCTTTTTTAAAAAAAAACTTAAGGATTGGCCATTTGATGCAAAAATAAAGTTTTCTAAAATTAATTTTGTAGTTGGAGGCTGTGCTTTGCCTACCTTGGGTAGAGTGGGTGAGATTAAAGTACATGGGTTATATTTAGTGGTGGTTTTATGTTGGCAGTAATTGCTTGCACAGTTTAGGACATCTGATTTTGAATGGGAGAAAGGGTTTCAATGTACTGTGGGTATTCATGAAGTATTGAGTGTCCTGAAGCAGCTGGGCAGAAGTGCTTTCTGGTAAGACAAACGGGATACAATCCCAATCAGGCATTTTGGAAGGTTGTACAATCAAGCCATTCAGAAGATTCTGCAACTGTTTGTCACTTAGCCATGGAATATGCATAAGGTACAGTTACAGTATATCAATGTATTTGCGAAGGCCGGGATCTAATGGATCTAATCCAACGAACACCAACAGAGCATGGACAAAGTTCCTACTCCAGTCCTCTGAAGATGCCGGCCACAGAGACTGGTGAAACATCAGGAAGAACAACCTTCAGAACACGGCCAAAGAGCCCAAAAAACCCACAACAACCATTACAGTTATATCAGTTACCATATTTTAGTACCACAAAGAATTGTTTTTTATAAAATTTTATTATTGAGACAGAGAAGGTCTCTGGACTTGATGTTTTTTTTAAATAACAGTGGCCTGCAACTTCATTATGATTTACATACCTGTGTACATGCATATGGAATGCAAGATCTTCATACGTATATACTATTGTGAGAAATTAACATTTCAGTACTGAAATTGATGCAGAAAGCAGTAGACAAAGTTTCCTCTAGTTTGTTGTAAGTATAAAGTTCACTGTAGGCAAAAATTTGTGGCTGATTTGTTTAGTAAATTATGGGTGCATGAGATCCAATGTAGCACGGTTGTCATGCTATAATGAACATACCCCTGAATTTGTAGAATCTCATGTGTGTCTGTAGGTTTATATACCCTCTCTTGGCATATTTATGAGAGATGCATCTCCTTACCAGTAGTGTCTCAAATAGCAATGGGAAAGTACTGCCAATTGCTGTATTTAAGATTGTTGGACCACTCTTTGAAAAATCATGCTTGTCAGAGGCCCTCTGGAACACACATCTGCCTCCCTCAGTCATTCTTTTTATGATCTTTTCTCTATGGGAGCCTCAGAGTCTCAGCTTGGGCTTTTGCCAACCTAATGATGTGCTGAGAGCATCAACCTTTCATATTTAATTGCCATATGTTTTTAGTCTGTTCCTAAATGTTCTTCAACTTAGTTACTTTAATTTAATAGACTTTGAAAGCCTTTAAGAACACACACTTTGATTATGTTATGTTTTTGTGTTATTGTCATTGTTGTGAACTGCTCAGAGTTCACTGGTCAGACGCACGATTTAGAAATCAAATAAATAAATAATTTAAAAAAATCTTGACAAATCTTTGTGATCTAGCTGGGTGCCATGCCGTTCAGGGGATATGAGCATTGCCTGCTAATCTGCTTCTGATAAGAATAGTAATGATACTGTAGAATAGTGATAAAATAAAAGAGTAAAAAAAATCCAGTGATCTTATCTCATTTCAGAAGTATGATCAGATTGCTTGTCTTCTTATTTCATGAGTCCACCAAGTCATAGTACTTTCCTATGAGAGGGGATTATTTCATTGGGCATAATAGCAAAAGGCAAAGCATTCAATGAAAAGCATGCTCTTTGCACTTGCAATGTACTCTTTCCACCTTGAGTAGTCTTGGATATTGCTTCTGTTTTCCCCTTGGGTTGCTGTGTTTATTGTTCTAAGTGTACATAGATTGTGTTCATGTGTAATGTGCAATTTGGTGCATAGTTGGACTTTGAAGCTAAGGGATGAGACTGATCTTCAGAGCATAACTTTATGATAGAATGTTTAGTAAACTTTAAGCAAATAGACAGTGGTGCTGATTTAGTGTTTAACACAGAGCCAATCTATCATTACAATCAAGATTTCTGAGAATGTCTGTTTGTCACAGCATAAGATGTACATACCACCTATACAGTATTTTGAAAAATAGTTTGTTTTATTTTGTGATTGGTCATACATTAGTAAATACGGGAGGATGCAACTCTGACTGCTTAGTGATAAAGGTCTGCTTAATGACATTTCTAGAACACTGATAAATTTTAGATTTTAGAGTTACAGCAACATGTAATTTAGCTTTTAATTGAAGTAGAAAGATGAATTGCATATGGGAGGTAGGATTGGAATTAAGAACAGCTTGATCCTGTGGAGTAACTGTTGTTTGTAGTAAGGAGGTTGACTGCATCTACAAGTAGCCGTAGGATGGAATGAGGGCAGATTAGAATCATGGAGCACCATGGTCTGTTTCAGAGTTTGGTATGAATGTTTGGACTACCAACTTCCAGAACCAGTCAGTGGGTATGCTACCTTAGGTGATCTTAAGACTTGTAATCCAAAAATGTAACCTTTCTGAACCTCCAATACATTTCCCAACTATGATTTTTTTTCATTTTTTGCTTCCAAAGTCTCTGGAACAGGTTTGCTTGCTATTTTCCCTTGGGGAAGTAAGAAGTGTATCTCACAATTTTTAGTCTTGACAAACATTCATCTACCTGTAGCAGCTTTAGAACTTTTATAAATACAGCATATAAAACCTACTCTGCTAGTGCAGAGTGAAAAGCCCACTCCTGAACATTCTCTGCTACACAGCTATAAAACACAAGAAATCCCAGTCTATACTCCAATCAACAGCATTGACAGTCTTGCTCAGCAGACAGTGCTACGGTAGTACTCGACGAATGTTAAGTAACAGTGGCTGAAATCCAGTATTAAGTTGCAACAAATCAAATCCAGTAGTAAGTTGCAACGAGAATCAGTGGGACTTATATAGGCCTTCTACTGATTCCGTGGACTCACTTTAGTTGCACCTTATTACTGGAAGCCAGCAATTATTTTGTAAGAGTCACCTTTTCTCAAACTGATAAAATTAGAATGTCTTGCTTTCAGTGTTGATTATCTGGCTGTAATGATGTAGCAGTAATTAATTCCCTGTCAATTTTTGAGTTAGCTTTGCTGTATGTTTGTCCTCATTGTTCCTTTCAAATATAAATCTAGAGGAGCGCTTAATTTAGTTGTTCTTCAGGAAAATGATTTGTGAAAAATGAAGTAGTTGAGCTAGTAAGAGAAGTGGTTAAAAGCTCTTTTGGGATATTTCATGAATATCTGAAGCTTTTTGAAAAAGCTGAGCTAAACAGAAACATATTTTAATATTTATCTAACTGTCTGTGTTTATGCATCCATGGCATATTATGCTTTTCAATTTTCCTTTTAATGCTTTCACAGCTGATTTTTACACCTGCTACCACTGTGGCGGCTGTCCAGTCTGACATTCCTGTTGTGTCATCATCATCTTCGTTTCCCTGTCAGTCTGCAGCTACTCAGGTGAGCTTGCTTGGATTGCATGTTTCTGTATGTATCCATTTCACTGAACCATGGTGAGGAATCAGTATGCATTTCTACTCCTTTTGCTTTGTTTTTCTTCAGTGTTATCATATAAGAATTTTTGTCTGTGCAACAGGAAAAAACATTTTCTACAGGAAACCAGATGTTCTTATTTTAAAACCTTGCCAAAGTGCTAAGCTACAGTGGAACCCCTGGTGGTAATACATTCCAGAATACAAGGCTGTCTTAGGGATAGCATCTTACAAGCAGGCATAATAGTAACTGGGAGAAAAGTGCTCTATATATTAAATAAACAAACAAATAACTGGAATTGCCATTGTACAAGAAACATTTATTGGCTTATAAGTCACTGTACAGTTTTCTAATCACCTTAAATGAAAATCTGTATTTGCATTTTATTACAATTTTTAGAAAATATAATTTTTTCATAAACAGTACAGCTGGATAACTTTAAGCCTGAGAGGTGAACTTTGAAAGAAGCAGGTATTCTTTAGAACAGGGCTAGGTTCCAGCAGTGTGCTTCTGCCAGTGCTGTTGATCCTTCTTCTTCCTCCCAGCTTCCTAGAAAGCTCCTATAGAGGGCTGGGAAGCCCTCAGGAGCAGGTTTCTGGTGCCACAAAGAGCTGCAGCAGGAAGAGAAGAAAGCCCTGATTCCACTGGCATTGGATATGTGTGCCATTGAATATAGAGGTACATCACTGAATCTTAGCGCTATCAGAAAGTTCACTCAGAAGCAGTAGTAGGAAAGAGAGCTGCAGGGTGAATACTGTTATATGTATGAATCCCACACTCTGGACAACCTTGATGAACATCCCATCCAAATATATATAGTATGCTACTTCAAAGGCAATATATGGTGTGCAGATAATGAGACAAAAAAAAAGGTTTTTGCGTTATTCGGTTCTGTTTTACCAAGTCATACAGAGGTTTAGGCAATCCCATTAAAATATCTATTTTTGCTTCTTTTTCTTGTGCATCAACTTACTTATTTATACAAGCACCAGCTCAGCTTTGGCAGAACCAATTGCAATAGCCATTCAGTAAATCTATGAGCAAATAGGAAGAGGGCTTTCATGGCCTTTAAGGTGTATCAGCTTTTCAAAAAGTCATGTTTACAAAAATAGTCAATATCAATGTGAAATTATGGACAGTATTTTTTAGAAAACACAGTATTGGTACATTTTTAGGAGAATCAGTTTCACTGATCATTTTAAGTAAAATAAACGGGAAAGAGGTTTTTCAAGGAGAAGCACTGACTGGCTAACAAACCTTAGGGACTGTTTTAGAGGCAGCACATCAGTATTTACAGCTTCCACTTCCAAGCCAGTACAGCCGTGAATTTCATTCTTAATAATTATGTTATTAAATCAGTTAAATTAATGTTTCTTAATAGGAAATGAGAACTAGATGTGTGAAGATAAATATTTCTTAATAGCATAGACCTAATCAGCATTTTGAGTAAGTTCCTACAGTTGGTGAAGGGAGGATGGGAAGAAGGGGAAAAGCAAGAAGAAATGGGCATGTCTAATGCCTTCTTGTGAGAAGCACAATGTCAGAAGTCAAATCACAGGGACTATGGACTATGTTCATAGCAATTCAGTCTCATCTATTTCACCTATAGAAGAATTAATAAACAAATCAATAAATTGACATTTGTATGTTTTTATTGGTGATTTTTGCCCAGCTAGTGTGTGACAGCCTGTGGAATTTGATGAAGTGTTGTCTATTGAAAATGAGCTGTATTGTTATTCCATCTGGTAATTAAGATGGCACTTTGCTGGGTGGAAGTAAAGAGAGGGAGGTGTTGGCACTTGTCTACAGATTAGCGAGCAACCAGTCAAGAAGTCCGCAACGAGGCATGTTTCCCACGGCGGCATCAACTTGTTGTTTTTCGAAATATTTCATCACCTCCTGCAAAATATCCCCCACACTGGCACCCTTCTTGGCTGCTTTTTCAGCCACTTGAGGAAGCTTCTTCAATTCCTCATCATTTTCATTCATGAAAGTGAGATTGGGCACTTGGAAGTGGGAGGCAGCCATCCACTGGAGGACAGCTTGAAGCTCCCTGTTCTGAGAGCTCGTATTGGAAGTCTGATTGTTCACTATCACCTCAGAACCAGCAGGAACAAGTGGCTTTCCAATGTTAGAGGGTCGTGAAGGTTTCTGGCATGTCATTGAATCCGGAGTTGATACACCTTTGTTTCTTGCAGTAAAGCATGTACCTTGTTCATCAGAGTAATCTTCAACAACAAAATCAGGGCTTTTAGTCATGTACATACACAGCTTCATCACCGATTCCATCAGCTGATCAATGAATTTCTTGTTTATTTGATCCATGTTTTCAGAGTCTACATCTGAAGTGTATTGCTTAGGTGAGGACTTTCTGTTAGGCCTCTCATCAGATGAGCTCTGTTTGAAATTTCTGGTCACTTCACACTCATCTACATTGAAACCAGCTTCTTGAAGGACCTTCTGGATTATTGATAAGAGAGCACTTTGTATTTCTCCTCTCTGATATTCTTGTTGTTGTGGATCACCCTTGTAGCTATGAGATTTAGAGCCATGTTTGCCTCCCTTTTCAAAGTACCCAAAAGAAGATGTGTTTGACTCAGAGGTTGGTTCTTTATACTGAGTTAATAGATGTTGTTGTATCAGCATTAATGCTGTCAAAATGAGGTCCTTTGCAAGAAACTCAGTTGTGGAGTTACTCTTTTCTGGCTTCTTCTCATGAGATCCCCTCTCAATATGAACCCTGTCTGAACATTTGCCTCCCGTTTTTGATCGCAGCATGCTAATTCCATCCTTAATGATTGACTCGCCTACTTTCTGGGCTGATGTATGTGCCGTATCTTGCTTAACCTTTTCTCTTGTATGCAATCCTCCTTTCAGAGATGCAAAGTGCATATTTGGACCATTGGGGTCTAATGAACATCCTGTTTTTAGTAAAGAGTATACAAGACTATGCCCTTTCTCCTTAGTTTCTGACATCAAAGCATTATACATCCTTAGTACCATTGCTTCTAAAATCTCAGTTGACTTCTGGGTTCCTGCATTGAAGAGATTTTTCTTCACTGTGGTGACAAAGTCTGAGTCTGTCATGAGGACCCCAGTGACATTATGTAGATTTTTCATAGTAGAATCTATTAAATCTGATATGACATCCTTTGTATGTTTGAGAAATACTCTTTTCAAAACCACACAAGCTGGAAGTGGTTGCCTCTTATGAATTTTTGTTGCATTCACAAATGAGAATGTCATATCCTTAGCATTTTTGTTTGCATAAACCATTAGCCCTTTGTTAAATGAATTACCATCACTGCGACCTGATTGTCTTCTTGGATGTATCAAATGGGCACATGGGGGAGCCTTTCCTTCGTCTTCTGCCATAGATTCACTTTGATTGGAACATACTTCACCATAAAAGAGAGATGTTTTCTTTGGGCTACCTTTCCCCTCATCTTTCTTGCATGAAATGTTATCTTGAGATGTTTTACAACTGGGTTCCTGGGCATTTTCCATAGCCTCATTCACCATTTTAGATGCAATTTTACTTACACAACCAGGGTTGGTGATTGCCTTTCCATCTTTAGTGGCATAAATTGCCTGGCGTATACATTTACTTGCTGCATCTTCCAGATTTTCAGAAATTTCTTTACTTGCCATTTGCATAACCAAGGAACAGAGTTTTTGCACTGTGCTTGCTACTTCATCTGCAGATCCTTTCTGACTTTCTGACGACTGGAAGGCTGTATTGTTGTTGTTCTGCTGAGACACTTTGTCAGCTGATGGCTTTTGTTGACGAGGGCTAGGTGAAGGTGTAAGTGCATGTTGGAAACCACATGCATATTTTTGCAGGTCGTCAAAGAGCCAGGTCACAACATTGAGTTCCTCAGTTGATCCTTGTTTGAACAGACAGACTGCTCCTTCAGTTTTAGACTGTTCTGGTGTCTCGCTGTCCTTTATTACAATAACCTCTTTGTCCTGCATTTTCCCCAGATCAAGTCCGGTGGCAGATTCACTGCTTTTAGACTGGCCAGTAGCATCTTTGCCTGTATCGTCTGTATTCTTTATGTTCAGGCTTGCAACATCAACAAAACAAATCACTTTGCGGTCCTGGTCTTTCCCTCCATCAGGATTGTAGAGATCTACCTTACACACACCTGCTTGGCTGTGTAACCAATCAACTTCCTGAGACATCTTTTTGAGGTTTGGAAGTGGAATTGTACCGAGGCCTGTATGGGATGTTTTTTATCAGTTGAGCTGCTTTGATGACCTTGCCAGACTGAAGATGTTGCCTCCTCTCTCAACTTTCCATGCTCTTCTGCTGCCAGATGTCATTTTCACTTGTGTGCACACATGGTTTCTATGGCAGCAGTGACATCACAAAGAAGCTGCACTGCCACCCACTAGAGATCTGGCTTCAGTTATTTAACAAGGAACTGATATATGGCCTTTTCCCCTGTTCAGTCTATTCATCTTATAAGAAATTTGTCATTTATAGGAGGAACATAGTAGTACATTCACAAAAGTAAAACTGTAGAATTGCATATGATTAATTTTTGTTTTTATTAAGATTTCTAGCCACAAAGGCAATATTATAACTTAGAAACAAAAATGGTAGGCAATTATTCTCAAGGTATTTATTGTGCTGTTCTTTGTGTGCAGGGATCATTTTCAGGTACCATTCTTGTGAGTAGGTCTATTGATATTGAAGCTTTTTGCTTTCCAGCAGCCATTTTATTCACAATTTATTGACAAATAACCACTGAATATCTTTTTGTTTTTGTACTATGAGTTGTAATCCTATCTGTGTTTTTTATAAGGTTTGTAAAACTTGCTATGGTTAATTGCAGTGAATTGATGAGATGCCAGGACACATCTCAGTTACACAGTTTGGCATGTGACCAGGCATATGATTGATACGTGATTGGCTGCAATTAGTTATAGCAAGTTAATTAGCAGTTACACAAATATCAGTA